CTGGACAGAAAATTGGTCAATTGTCACTTTGATTAGTTGTAACTCTGTGCCAAGGATGGTGCCTCTCAATAAAGATTTACCAATTCAACCGTAGAACATTATTCTGTTTTAAAGTTCATCTTAGAATCTGGCCTACTCTAATACCAACCTCAGAGACATTACATGAAAAAAGATAGAAGCGGTGGATTCAAAGAAATAGGGTAAAGTTGTATAAACGAAAAGACGAGGATTTTTAAGAAGCTTCTGAGATAAGATCGTTGTAAATGTTTTCATTTTGTATGAAAGTGCGTGAAAAAGACCTTTTTAAGTCGGTCTCACCAGAATACGACTGCTGGTTCCGGTTGTAGCGCAGCCGTCTGGCTTTAATACTTGTTAAAATTACTTCCATTTCGAGTGAAAGTGTTTGGTGTAGCGATTTAAAGGTCTCTTCCGCCAGAAGACGACAGCGGATTTCTCTTGACCACCTGTCGATTGGCTTTACGGGCACATGCATGGTGACATTATTTCCAAGGTAATCTTTTTCGATTCCGGTGAAAAGGTGTTAAGCTTTCGTCCGTCATATGACGAACGTCATCAGAGCATCGAGGGTATCATCATCACAAACAAATTCAAGTTAACTTGTCAAGAAAACTCATTGGCAAATCCCTAAAAAGTGGTATATATACTCTACATATATTAAGTGATTCGGTTGGTTACGGTCATATCTCAACTTCGAAGCCTGTTAGTGTGTTTGTCTCTGTATGTGTATGTTCCTGTTCGCGTTCGCTTATGCAGAAACGCGAAGTGATGGCTCAAAGTAATTGGGACAGCAAAAGGGAACGTCTGTTTTTGCCCATCAAGGTTTGATGACCCATACATTCATGTTATAACCATCACTCCAATTGTGCAAGGTCGGACACTCGTCTGGTTATGTTGATGAGCCTTTTTTTGTTTTGGTCTCAATGCGAGAGAGAAAGAGTGAGCTAAAAGTATAAAGAAGTGATTATGATTAGAACTAAGACAAGAGAACATCGCCTACTTTTTGCAGGCGGCTTAACTCCCTCTCTATCCTTGAATTCTTTTGACTCGTCATATGACGGACGAAAGCTCAGCATGTTTTCACCGGAATCGAGGCAGATCACTTCGGAAACAGCGTCAACAAGAATGTTCGAGTAAGGCCAATTTAGAGCTGGTCAAGAGGAGTCCATCGTCGTCTTCTGGTGGAATCGACCTTCGAATCTCTTCACCAAACACTTTCGCTCGAAATGGAAGTAAGCTCAGCAATTATGAACCAAGAGAATCCTAGAAACCCAACTTTTTTTTGCATGACTTTAATACGACGTTCAGGTTGATTCAGTTTAAAAGACATCCTCCATCCTTTTGTTCGCAATATAAAGAGCATCTACCGAGTTGTGACTCATTCTTGCAAAAGCCTCAAGTTAACACCAAGTCAACTAGTTTGACCGGCTCTTTATTATATGATAAATATACTCATTGCGATGGATCTATAAATGTTTGGTTAATTCGCTTATACTCGAGTGTGTATGTGAATGTATGCATGTTAAGGTATATATGCAGTCCCGGCCAAAACACAGAGTAATTAGAAGGAAGCATAACATCAGCCTCGGGTCATCAAGGCGCAACGACTTAAGGAAAAAAGCATGATCGAGATCATGTTAGTCTGTAAGTAGCCCTGGTTGAATTGCTGAGGTGTTAGGCTGTACGTGTGAATGTCAGATTACGAAGCCACCAGTCCGAACTCGTTCGGTGTAATGATCCAAGAAGAAACATGGCTGGGATTGTGTAATCCTGAGCCTAAGATATATGTTGGATGAGTGCAAATTTGGCTAGAATAAATGGTTCAAGCCCCGCTGGGGATGTTGATAAGACCTAGGCGAGGTCGAAACTGCTGTCCACCCTGAATAAGAACAGCTTTTGGCAAAGCGAGGATATGTAAAATTAAATGGAAGCCTCAGCTTTACGCATATCATTTTGGGAAAATTCAACTACCAGTCCTTTAACATCTCAACCGAAAGTGATCAAAGCAATCATTCAGTTGACAATTTGGGTCGTCCTATATTAGACGGTAGCTCAACATCCTCTCTCTTTCAATCTTTAAATCAAGCTTTAGTAATTCTTACTCAACTTTCGACCACTATTCAACGTATTCCCTAATCCATTAATTTTAATAGCTTTTCTCATCTTACCTTTCATAGCAGATATGCCATAATCAGCAAACCTCTGCATTTTAGACCTTTCTATCTCACGTTCTGTCTCTGCCCCTTTTGACCGTTCCAACAAACTGTCTTTTCAACCTTTTTTAGCGGTCTTATAACAACCGTATCTGAAAAGAGGCATAACAGAAGAATTTGCCTCAGTTTCTCTCTTGGTTTTTCCATTGGTTTGGTATATTAGTGCACTTTTTTGTAAAATATTCTTTCTCCCTCTGACAATGTCTGCCATGGTGCTACAGACGAAAGATGTCACGGATTTATCGGGAACGCACCCCGCTGAGCCAAGGACGTTTTTATGCACAATGCAACAGTCTTCACTCCCCAATGAGACCAATATACGAATTCCTGTGAACTGGAAAGTCAAACCCTATTGATAGTGGCCTTTCTCACAATGAAATGAGTAGACCTCATGATGCTATTGTTGTATACTCTGTCATAATTCCTGGCATTATTTTAAGCGACCTAGGGTGGATAAAGTAACTCAACCCCTGTTTGTATGAAGTGGGCTGAAATGTTATTTTGTCTAAAAACCCAGTCAGCCCCTCAAGGCGCAACGACGTGTATGAAAGGAGAAATAAGTCTGAGGTGCGGCCTCGTAAGGTGGGGCAATTAGGGGAAATGCAATTCTTATTCATGATATATCGATTGCCTTAAAACTACTAACTCTGAATATAAGTAGTGTGACTGATTGTAAGGACAAAGTAGAAGATTGCATAATCGATACTCTCACTGAAGCTGTGATATGAGAAAAACTGGGCCTGCCTTGAGATTCAAGTCTGCCTCCTTAAGCAGGAAATAAATGCCTTAATTCCAAAGGTTTTGACTCCCGTCGATGGTGCTAATGAGGCCCAGCTTGGATGAGGACACATTTTGGGAAGCAGGGCTAAATAAATTGCAGTGGAATCGCAAGACCTATTCATATAATTTTGGGAAAATTTATCTTTCAGTTATAAATCACCTCATGCGGCCTAGACCAAATGCAGTGACTACTCAAAATCTCCTGATAGTCTCTAAACTACCAAGTGTAAATATAAATTCTTCATTGCTATTACTCCGCCTCTTATAAAGTTAAACTTCCAAAGATATATTTTGAAGTGATTGACTGACAGTGCGAGGAAAGAAGTGGGTTTTTTCAGCCAATGGTGGAACATCCTAATTGAAGTAAGACGAATCTGTGGCTAGATTGGGCCGGTTGTACAAACACGATGATCCATTCTTATATTTCCTTGTTGATCGCTTGAAAATCGAGATTTTTATACACACCAAACCTTCGATACTTGTGTGAGACACGAATATTCCCAAGCATTTTCGTCATCTTCCAGGATTGATATTTGAATTTACGCACAATGAGGTTAGTAGATCACAAAATGCTACTAAAGTTTACATTGCCTTGCCTCCAAAGGCCTTCTTATGCAAGTTTAGATGCAGTCTAGCCCTCATCCGGGCCTCATCATTGCCCCCAACTGGATCCGTAAACGGGTCGTGTTGATGAGGCCACGATGAAGTTGAAACTTGAATCCAGCCCAGAAGAGCAGACCTGTCTGAAAGCAAGGCATCCTGAGATATATTTATATAATTTTGTTATAATTCTGCAAAAGGAAGCTAGGCTTCGAAGACTCCTTTGGTAGGTTAGTGTGATTCGCTTTTTCATCTCGAAGGAAATTTGAATGGGAGGAATATGTGAATAGGTTTCACCGGAATTCAAAGATGTGAAGACTGGTAAATTGTGCATAGAGGTTCTCTGCTGAGTGTCCCGCGACCCATATGCATCTGTGCTAAGCTTTCGTCTGTCCCTCCGTGGCAGACTTTGTCAAAGCAAGCAAGCAAGCATACTTTTAGAAAAAAGGCTCTCTAACGCATTCTATTGGCTTAGTAAATTGGCGCGCTATTTCGTAAAGTATGCTTTCTTTCTCTGACGATGTCTGTCACGACGGGACAGACGAAGACTTAGAACAGGTTTATCGGAATCGCAGGACAATGAGCCGTGGACGCTTTGGCACAAAGCAACATTTTTCGCTCTAACCACTTTCGTCCGAAATGGAAAGTAGAGTGACATTCTTCGACGAAAGATGATAAAAGTTTGCATTAAAATTCTTTGATAACCCCAAAGCCTACTTGACAAGTATGCAAATTTCTCCTAATCATAATGACTTTCAAAAACAAAAAATAGTTTATTTTAGGTGCAGTAACCGTAAGCTGTCCGGGGAACGAGTGTTGGTATGAGGGTATAAAAGGGACTAATTCGACAGACTTACATCGTTCGTACGGTGTTAATCTGCCGCCAAGACAGCCTGGGAAGACCGCAAGAGCCAGCAGGCAGAATAATCCCGACATCCGATGGAGAAGACAGTCTGAAATGAAGGGATCAGTTGACTTGATGGAAATTGCCAAACGGCCAGCATCACCAAACTCCGCTCTCGGATTGGCTGCATCGCTCGAAAGTCGATGAGCCTGCAGTCGCCTGATTGGCTGCAGCTGACCTCGGAATCCCACTGGCTCTTTCCATTTCCCTCGACAAGAAGATACAGTTGACGTATTGACCACTGACACCACTTGCATTGTTGGCCACTCACAGGCCCGAATGCTCAAGGCACGTCTCTTTCAGTCAGTCAAAAGCCGTTAAATTTGGTTAGAAAGGGCCAAATCATCCTCCCATTTGTCTAGTCTGACACACAAACTGAGATTTAAAGCCCTCTCAACTGGGCAACATTCACCCACGACGACAGGAGTGGAGACGCAGCAGTACTTCAAGATTAATGACTCTTTTTACCGCAAACAGGTCTTCTGAATCTGATACCGCAAAGTTGGAGATTGTTCCGAAACTTGTCTGTCCGAATCAGCAGGGACAGCTTGAATATGAAGGCTTTGTATTGCATTTAAATTGATTGTATGCGCGAATAAAGGCTCAGTTTATAGATTTATAGGACTAGTTTAGCGAAAAAGATGGACTCAATTTATAGTTGTCTTCACGACCAGAAATAAAGGATGAGGGTGAGTTTTGGTGTAGCAGTAATGCATACAAATATTCCTATTAAGGCAACTGTCCAGGCTCTCGCATTCAGTCTAATAAAACACTTGGTAATAATTGAGGATGTAAACCTGAGCAAAATTCAATTTTGCTACTACTTTACTCATACACGAGTAGCATGCATACATACTGTACGTTTAAAAGTAGATTTGGTGAACAGATGTAATCACCTGTCATGTCAAAAATAGACGACCACTTTATGTAAGTGACATTCTTAACACTGAAATAGTTAGCGAGAGATATGAATCATTAATTTGTAGATTAGCAGGATGATAAGAATGGACTAGCTAATTTCTTGTCCTTAACTGACCAGTCGAATAAAAATAATAAGTTCACGAAAGAAATGGAAAAATTAAAAAGTTTATCATGCTTAGCTGTCTTGATACTTAGGGCAGGTATATACAGTAAATCAGCATAAGCTGACTTTAGTTTCAACTTCCTATCAAACCATAATTGTTGAGCCTACTTTCATTTCGAGTGAAGGTTTTGGGTGAAGAGATTCAAAGGTCGGTTCCACCAGAAGACGACGGCGTATTCCTCGTGACCAGCTGTCAAGATTTGCCGGTAATTTTTCTTGACTCGTTAGCTTGAATTTGGTTGTGACGCTGATGTTCGTCATATGACGGACAAAAGCTTAGCACCTTTTCACCGGAATCGAAGGAGATTGCCTCGAAGGCAGCGTCAGCATGCCATTTCCAGTAAAGCCAATCGACAGCTGGTCAAGAGGAATCGGCCTCCTCGTCTTCTGGTGGAACCGACCTTCAAATCTCTTCACCCAACACTTTCACTCGAAATGGAAGTAAGCTCAAAAATTATGAAACAAGAGATTCCTCGAAAACCAACTTTTCTTCGAATATTATTATCTAACCATAGTCACAAAATGAAAGTTAGTATTTAAGAATCAATAATTACTCGAAGTATACGCCTATGGGATAGATGAAATAGATGGGCTTAAACAAATATTGAATGAGAATTTAGTCACTCTAGATGGCCCAAGGTGATTTAAGGACTGAAATTTGAGCTTTAACGCTATGAGTTTTGTAGGTTTCACGATGCCATTGTTTACCTCATTCAAACTAGTTCTCATCAGCACATTCAGCGGAATTACATACCTGGTCATGGCTACCTTAGCGATGTTACTCCTCCACTCCCCTCGTAAACTACTAATATCAAAAAATAGAAAACCTCTTCGTTAAGTATGTTTATACATTATGTCTGACTGAAAACAGCACCATATTAATAAGGGATGCATTATTTGAAGAGAAATAGTTAAGAAGATATGAATAATTTGGGTTTTTTCTCATATTCCGACAATTCCTCTATATCGAAATATAAAAATTTACTGGAATTGATAAGAGACGGAGGATCGAAAACCGTTTTCGAGGTAACCATTGCACTTCAGTCAGTTATGCCCAATTTAGAGGGAACATTGGCCCATTATTCAGATAATTATACTATAAAAAAATGGGTTTTAAAGTCGTTTTTATGTTTAAGTTTTTATATTCTCCCCATTCCGCATAGAGTGATTTAACACAAAAATGTGTGTAGAGGCTGTTGAATTCTACTATCAGACCAGCTGAATATATGGAAGAAACTGGACATGAGGTAGTAAGAATGATACTCTACTTTGATTATGCCCCTCATATGACAGACAAATGCTTCATATTGTGAGAGTTCTATTCACCATACTTTGTTTAAAGGGGATGAAGGACTGGTGCGGAGATTGTAGGCCTTCCTGGATAAGAATACCCTTTGAAAA